CATTCACAGGTCTGCATCTTCAATGACTGGATTCAGCAAACCATGGCCAGCTATTAAGTCTGATCCTTCAACTTCTTTCCGACTCTGCTGCAATTCTTCTATCATTTTAACTCCATTGTTGTTGTCGAGTTCTAAACAACTTGCAGTCAGAATCCACCTAAATCAATAAAGTTATTCACCTTGACTTCCATTTTTTTTTACCTTCTGTTTTCCTACAAAACTGTTTTTTGATATTTAAAATAGTAAAACAAACATTTTACAATCATATCCTGGAATTTAGGAAGTCGGAGAAAGGCAGTTATTTTGTACATAAATCATCTGAACTGCTGTTACCACTGTCGCAAGACATCATCATCAGTCACTCTTACTGTGTAACTTTACACGTGGCCAGAGTTCAGAATTAAGACAGAAACCAGCTGTAGTGCATGTACATTCTAGCGAGCACTGCACAGTAATTTATAACAATAACATCTTATTTACAACAGTAAACCTACTATTAAACATATTCCTAATACCTAAACAGCACCTTTTCAAAGCTAGGTTAAGATACTTTATGCAAAAGTATCCCTGCATTAATTCAATTATTATCTGCTGAAGTAATTATCCATGTGAGGGATAAATCAATATAATCCCTAACCCTATGGTGTCAGAATGTGTGATTTCTGGCTTTTAAAAAATGTTTCCACTGTACTTTATTTGGACATCACACAGTACACGACATGATTATAAGTCAAAAAGAAATATATATAGTCATACTGCCTGTTTTCTAGATAACTTTGATGTATTTTTTTTCAGGATATATTTTCATCTTTAAAATGATAACAAATTATTTTAGTAAGAACCTTTAAAAAAAAAACTAAATTATGTTTGCAAACATAATTTTTGACCCCTATGAAAAGGCCATCGAGGGAACAGTTCACCCTGCCCGGGATAGGGTTACCGGGGCCCCGCCATGGGGCCAGCCCCGGGGAGGGTGTCTGAGGGCGAGCGTCTGGTTGCCGGGCCCTAGTCCATGGGGCCTGGCCGGGCACAGCTCGAAAGAGGGACATGGGCCCATCTTCCTGCTGGCTCACCACCCGCAGGAGGCACTGTAGGGGTTGGGTGCAATGTGAGTCGGGCGGCGGCCAGGAGCGGAGGCCCTGGCGGACCGATCCCCGGCTACCAAGACTGGCAATTGGGACATGGGATGTGACCTCTCTGGTGGGGAAGAAGCCTGACCTAGTGCGTGAGGTTGAGAGGTACCCGCTCGATATAGTCGGGCTCACCTCAATGCATGGCCTGGGCTCTGGAACCAGTCTCCTGGAGAGGGGCTGGACTCTGTCTCAGTCTGGAGTTGCCCCTGGTGAGAGGCGTTGGGCTGGGGTGGATATGTTGTTATCCCCTTGGCTTGCTGCTAGTATATTGGGGTTTCTCCCAGTGGACGAGAGGGTTTGTTCCCTTCGCCTTCGGGTCAGGGAATGGGTCCAGACTGTGGTCTGTGCTTGTGTGCCGAGCGGCAGTTCAGAGTACCCAGCTTTCTTGTAGTCCCTGAGTGGGGCCTCCTGGGGACTCTTTTGTCCTACTGGGAGACTTCAGTGCTCATGTGGGTAACGACA